AGCACCGGTCAGTTGCTGAGTCGAACTCATGTCGAGATAATTAGAAATCAAGATACCGTCCCCACTTCTGCCCCTCCAAGCGGAGTCTATTATAAATCTAAACAGGAAGAGTAGAGACACATATAACCCGTTATCGTCGTATGATTATTTCCCCCACCAACAATACCGCTCTCAATATTCTCTCAGACAAAATGGCTCCATTCGGAAAGATCTGGTCCTACATTCCCAGCCCTCGGGTTATGAGAGTACGTGCGGCCTACTCGCTTGTTCCTGATAACTGCTAATCCATATTCCCCAACAGATCCAGGCCGCAGCCAACCTCAACGGCCTGGAGCTCACCTTCCCGGACTTCGTCATGCGCGAGACCAACCGCACGCCTGAATTCCTGGCCAAGTTCCCCTACGGCAAGGTGCCCACTTTCGAGGGCGCCGACGGCACCAACCTGTTCGAGACGGATGCCATTGCGGAGTATGTCGCTCTGAGTGGCCCAGCCGCCGAGCAGTTGATGGGTAGTACTATTGTCGAGCGCGTCACCATCCGACAGTGGATTTGCTTTTCCCACGGTGAAGTCATGGAGAATGTCATCCAGCTGGCATTGTGGCGGAGGGGGGCCAAGCCCTATGACGAAGCGGTGGAGAACAACGCCCTCGAGCGCCTGGAGCGTTCGCTCGCCTTCCTCGACTCCCACCTGAAGGACCGCACCTGGCTGTGTAGCGAGGACAAGATTACCATGGCTGATATCACCCTCGCCTCCGCACTGGCTTGGGGCTTCTCTATGGGTATTGACGCTGAGATGCGCTCCAGGTGCCCGGTCACCGTCGCGTGGTACGAGCGCGTTATTGCTGTCGAGGGAGTCAAGCAGGCTTTTGGCGAGAAGAAGTTCATTGAGAAGCGCCAGGTTCCGAATAATTAAATAGATTGATAGAGTACATATCTTGTATGTGAATGACACAAGAGACGCGGACGCGCTCATCACAGAATTCTTGCTACTAAAAGACTACGGAAATCATAAAGCAAAGAGTACTGAATTGGCGTAGTGTAGATGGCACAGTGGACTCCCCCTTGTGCCATACCCTAGCATCTAATAGAACTGGCTTTGCTATGACTGCTAAAGCCCTAGCCTTTCCTTGCCGTATAACCCCTTAGGGCAGTGAAGGTTGGGCCCTCTAACGAGACAACGATCTCAGTCAGCCGGGCACCAAAACGACATATTGCTAACAAATTGTGCAAGGTGAATATCATTTAATTTTATTACCCAATGTCACTATATTCTATGCATTATGCACCTTGCTATCTAGCTAGAGGATTAGATGCGGAGGTCGAAATCTAGTCTAGGTTTAGAGAACCGACGACTGCCGAGCAGTACCGACCGGCTACCCCAAGACCCCGGTTTGTAGTGCTATGTATCTCATTGATCTAGATCGGTTGCGAACCATTAGCTCCTCTTTGATTCGGGTGATGTCGAGTTGTTCTGAGGATGTGGAGACTCCATCGGCTGCATATGGAGAGCGGCAAAAGAATGGACTGAAGTCATCCAACTAGGCACGCCCCACTCGGCATAGTACAGCATATCTCCGGCATTTCAGACGAGGATGAATCGATCTACCCCATGAAAGAGGTCACACGGGCCTGGTACTATGGAGTATGCATCGTGAGTTGAGGCCGAGGTGTATGAGCTCTTTTTAAGAAACGTTGTGCCCCGAATCTAATGCTCATCATACTTCTACTCTCCATCTCAGTTTAACATGAACAGCCACACACCGGTGCAGCCAGAGTTGTGCTTTGACGTGATTATCGTTGGCGCAGGCATCTCCGGCATCAACGCTGCCTATCGCATCCAAGAGCAGTTGCCCAACTTCAGCTATGCGATCTTGGAAGCGCGCGAGGACCTGGGTGGTACCTGGGACCTTTTCCGCTACCCCGGCATTCGCTCAGACTCAGACCTATTTACCTTCGGCTTCGCTTTCAACCCCTGGAACCACAACAACCCCATTGCAGAAGGCTCCGCGATCAAGGAATACATGCACACCACTGCCGAGATGTATGGTATCGACAAGCACATCCTGTTCCGGCATCATGTGTCCTCTGCGGACTGGTGCACCACCAACAACACCTGGTCGCTGGCCGTGGACGCGGATGGTGTTCCCCAGACCATAACCTCGCGCTTCGTGATTTTCGGTACCGGCTACTACGACTACAATCAGCCGCTGCAGGCCAAGATCCCCGGACTGGATAACTTCCAGGGCCAAGTTGTGCACCCGCAATTCTGGCCCGAGGACCTCGACTACAAGAACAAGAAGGTTGTAATCATCGGTAGTGGCGCTACCGCAATCACGCTTCTCCCTAATATGGCCGACGAGGCGGCGCATATCACAATGCTCCAGCGTAGTCCGACCTATGTGTACTCAGTCCCCAACCACAAAGCCAACAGCAGACTATCATACCTCCTACCATCAGGCATTTATCACGGGTTACAACGAGCTATCTGGATCCTGAGGCAGCGTATGTTCTTCCTCTTCTGCCAGCGCTTCCCCTCCTTGGCGATCTGGATCCTCAAGCGCGGCTTGGAAAAGGAACTCCCCGGCCATATCTCTTACGACCCTCATTTCAAGCCGCACTACAAGCCCTGGGACCAGCGAATGTGTGTCTGTCCAAATGGCGACTTCTTTGCTTGCCTGCGCAGTGGAAAGGCAGACGTCCGCACCGACACCATTAAGACCGTCACGAAGACGGGTATCGCCCTCAATGGGGGCACAACGCTGGACGCGGACATCATCGTCACAGCCACCGGGCTGAAGCTGCAGATCGGCGGCGGCATTACGCTCAGTGTTGACCGGCAGAAGATCGACATCGGTTCCAAGTACCTGTGGAACGGAGTGATGTTGCAGGACCTTCCCAACGCGGCCTTCGTGATCGGATACACCAACGCTTCGTGGACCCTGGGTGCCGATGCCATCGCGCAGTGCATTACCCGCATTCTCCAAATGCTCGAGTCGCGCAAGCTCGTCGCTGCTGTCCCGCGTGTCAAGGCTCAAGATGCGCAGCACTTCCAAGACCGCCCCCTGCTGCAACTCAAGTCAACCTATGTTCATGCCGGTGCCCGTGCTCTGCCTCGCGCGGCAGACCGCGGTCCCTGGCAGCCGCGCGATCACTATGGTAAGGATCTTCACTTCGCCCGGAAGGGGAACCTGAATGAGGGGCTCGAGTTTGTGCCGGGCTCCAGTCTGCGCTTGCGGGAAAAGCTAAGTTGAGTTTTGCGTCTGTGAAATTGAAGCGATGATGTTTGCTACCGTCCTTATGAAAATGCTTGAATCCTAGTGCTAGGAGTACTTGTTGTAGTAGTTAGTCTACATCCATTCAGTCAGAGGATATTAAATGCCCACTCTTAGAAATACTCGGTTGTCTGGTCATATCACATTTCGGTACGGTATCATAGCATAGAGCGACTGGTCAGGTCGTGTAGTATGTTTTGACGTCCTCGAATCATTCCGCACCCTGGCCAATGGATGTAGTGGTCCAGGCCGGCGGGTGGTTGATGTTTGAGGTCGCATCAACAGATAAGGTACTGACAATGTTGAACCGTTCAAGCATCGCCAGTCGATCGGCCAGTCAGCTGATATGGCTTTGTCGAGAGTTTACGGAGTAGACTAGATCCATTTGGGAGAAAGTCACGAGGACTACCTAAGTATCATTCCGGGGGGGTTCATAGATATGCCCTTCCACAACTATGTGCCGATATCTTCCGCTACCGTCTTCTATATCTCTTCTTGTGGAACCAAACGTATATTTCTGCTTGTCCATTCTTTCTGATATGACAGAAAATTGTGGATGCTGTCACCGGACGACTACCCATTAGTGATACGAAGTGATATGATATTCCTAAGTTATCTCGCTATAACTTTAAAGCAAGATTCAATTATGTTTGAGTTTATCTTACCTTTGAGTATCTAAAAGAATCTAGTATACTATGTAGAGTTTCTTGACCATATTATTCGTGCTGTGAGTTACCCCAATAATATATAGGATATAGCTACTGATAAATATATATTTATAACTATTTGCGACGCGTCCATGAGTCGGTCAGTATAACCAGATCCTCAACTAAAGTGAATCGTAAACGATCACCTTCTTTGGCTTTTGCCGTTATATCAGGATATCATCTTGATGTTGTGGATTGACGGAGTACCGTGGACATTGTATGGACTACAAAGTAAGATTGCAGAATGGATCTGCCCGTCGGTCGCTCCGAGGACCAATGACACACGGGAATCTCGCGGCAACTCCGGGAATCGCAGAACGGCTGATTGGAAGTGGGGAAAGGTTTCGTCTGAGTACGAGAACTGACTACTAAAGGTACTACTACTACTACACAGTACTAGTGCTACTACTAGTGACTCTCACTTGGTCTGTCATTCGTGAGATGGAACCGCCCGTCAGCTTCAGCAGATGCAGGAGCTCCGTGCGGCTCCAAGGGCGGTCGGCCTTGATTCGTTCCTGTCCAGGACGGCGATTCGACAGCTCGTCTACAACTGAATGGCCATGAGGTGCATCTTCCTTGCTTTTTCTTTTCCCTTTTCCTTTCCCTCGTTTCCGTCACGTTCGACGAGGCCACACCATGAGACCCGTCGATTGCCATCTCACCTGAACTGCGATACGAACCCCCGATGATCCCTACTGAACTAGTCACGGTAGCTCAGTTTCTGTCCATCAGCCTCGGCCACAACAAACTAAACTCAAAGGTAGTGGAGTGTGCCTGGTGACGGGCGCTTCGATCGCGCTCTCCTCATTTCTGTGTGATTTCCCTCTTCCATTGCGCACACAGTATCCCGCGGGGAACGATCCATCTCTCCCCGTGATTCTACTCTCGCTAGTCTGGATTTCTCCCGGTGTTTCTGACATCGTGCTGGCCCCCCTACCGGTCGCAAAGCACTAATTTTAAGCTTGATCTCGCTTTAGGTTGGTCCCTTGCCGCGATCGCTGGTCCCTGTCGCTTGTCATCCATGTCTCTCCAGCCCGACGACCCACGGTCGCGTGGCCGTTCCAGATCGCGACAGCGCTCCAGTTCGCGCGCTTCGGCCCTGGGGAATCCGTATCTGTCTTCCGAACCGGCAGACGAATACCTGCGAGCGCGATCAAGAAGCCGTGGTTATCGCACCAGCGCCAGCCATCTGCCCTCGGGCTCCGATGTGAGCCACTATACTTATCTACGCGACCACAACGACCCCGCGCGGTCCCCCAACGTTCGCCCAGTTCGCTACGATGCTCCCCCGGATGATATCTACTCGGATTCGGACGACGACGGACTGGCCTATGGCGATATTCCTGGGGAACTCGAGCGCAACTACTATGGGTACATGGCTACTCCCCGAACCTCGTCCTCTCAGGTCAACGGTGCAATGATGTCGGGCGCGCTGAATGGAGACAGGCGCGCCGGAAAGGAGCACACCTCCGGACGCTCCAGCGAGGAAGCGCTAGGTGGTCATCCCAGCTACGCGAAAACGGGCGCGTTCAAATATGCAACGCCCGCTCAATACCTGCATGCGCAACCAGACTGGGCGCCGATCCCAGAGTGTGAGCGCCCAGGGTTCGTCCCACCGTCGTCGCAAGCCGACGAACAATACATGCCGGGTGCGTTTCCGCAGCCGGCGACAACGGCCGCGCCGTCGTTTCCGATGCCTCAGTACGCGAACCTCGAAGCACAGTCCAACCCGTATCCATCCTGGGGCGGTCGTCCCGTCTCGATGTCGGGCGCTCATGCGTACGCCCCCACGGTCAGTTCGCCGACCCATAAACGCGCCGTATCCAGCGACACCACGGCGCAGACCCCGTACGCCAACCCCCCTACTTTCCAGTACGCGCAAGTCGATCCGAAAGTTCAATATACCTCGAAGGGCGCCTCCAAGCAGCCGGTGTCGTATACTGCGGCACCCCAGTACGCGAAACCGGGCGACACAGACAGGGGTCAACCGTCGCAATACGCAAACATCAAATACTCCGCCAATCCACAGTTCTCCAAGACCCCCACCAGCCGTCCAGACAGCGGACAGCAGTATGTCGAAATCGCGCCCGGCGACCGGAAGGGCACGCGCCAGAAGAGTCATTCCGTCTCCTCGGGCAACAATCTGTCGGTCGCAGGCCCTGACCCCGGCCTCCGACCAGCGAGCCCGATGCTGGAGCCGTATAAGGGGACGTACCAGAGCATCTCCCCGATGCCGTCTCCGATCGTCATCCCCTCCAAGCGGGATGAAGACGTGTCGGACCTAGAGCCCCTCGATGGCGGCTCCGACTCCAGCGGGCTACGAAAGCATCGGAGGAAGAAATCCAAGGACGAGAGGGAGCTGAAGGAGCCCAAAAGTGATCGTTCCAAGCGCGAGAGGAGTCGGGTCCGCCCAGAGCGACCTGGTTCGCAAGAACAAGCCGTGATGCTGATCGAACCCAGCACACCGCGCAAGAAAGTGTCATTCTATGACCCCGAACCCGATGCCATGGCCATGCAGGATGCCTTGTCGCATACCCGCAGCATCGATAGCAAAACCCTCATCCGTGTGCTGCCCCATTTGACCAGCGAGGAGATCCTGGACCTCCGGTCGGAGTACAAGAAGCATGTGAAATTGCACGGCAAAAGCGTCAACCTGGCCAAGCATATTCGTCTGAAGCTGGGCAACAGTACCTTTGGCAAGGTGTGCTATGCGACTGCGTTGGGCCGGTGGGAATCCGAAGCGTTCTGGGCCAACTGTTACTACCAGTCGAGTACCTCCCGACGCGAGCTGCTGATTGAGTCGCTGTTTGGCCGGAGTAACAGTGAAATCCGTGCGATCAAAGAATGCTTCCGTGACTCACGGTACCTTGATAGCCTGGAGAAATGCATGAAGGCCGAACTGAAGGCCGACAAATTCCGAACCGCCGTGCTGATGGCTCTCGAGGCCACCCGGCAGAGTGAACGGGAGCCCCTCGATGGCGAGTTAATCGAACGAGACGTCCAAGAGCTGCACAAGGCGTTGGTGTCGCGGCATGGAGGCGAAACCGCGATGATCTATATCATTGTGCGCCGGAGCGACTCTCACTTGCGAGAGGTGCTCCGCTTGTATGAGCGGATCTACGGCCGGAATTTCGCCCGCGCTATGATTTCCAAGTCGCAGAATCTTGTGGTATGTTTAACCTGCGTGATCCCCCTGGTGGTTCTTTTCTTTATCTTTCCCTTGTTATAGGATCATGGTTAACTCGATGGATACAGGGCGAAACCCTTGCGCATATACTCAACGGAGTGATCAACCGACCCATGCGGGACGCGCTCCTGCTCCACCAGGCGCTGCGCGAATCGCGGACGGGCAAGGAGCGATCGGAATTGTTGATTTCCCGACTGGTCCGATTGCACTGGGAACCGCGCCATCTGGAGCAGGTGAAAAGCGAATTCCGTCGGAGATACGGAGAGCGACTGGAAGAGGCAATCGCCGAGGAGGTGTTGACCACCAGCAGCGGCGATGACTGGGGCGAGTTCTGTATTGGCTTGGCGCGCAGTTCCAAGGCGCTGTCGAAAATAGGCTAAAGAGTCTGATTATGACTTTGACGAGCTTACGGATTTTGTGCTGATGATTCGATGACAATTCTTTTTGGTTATGGTTACGCATGCGCTGTATAGAACGAAGGGCTAAGCAGCCAGGAAGGGAAAAAAACAATAAAAAAAGGGGGGAAAGCAGAAAATGGGAAAGGGGAAGAAAAGAAACCAGGGCGAATGTGACATGAGTTGTGTTATGAGGAGAATTTAATGGTCCTATAATAGTAGTCTGGATGTTACATGTTGATGGAAGTTTTTGTGGCCTTGTTGCCCGGCCCCATTGAAATCTGCAGTTCGCCATTTTCATCCGCGCAATGTTTTATATGGTCGAGTTCGAAACTGCCAGGCAGCCATGATAGGAATAAACGTATCTACTATTCCGTATGTATCTATACATTTCATTGATCGGCAAAATGGCGAATGAGCCCCTTACCGAAAATCACCCAAGAGATGCCCAAAGCGCAGTGACCTCGAGTTCTTGGATAACTATGTTCCTAGGCTGCCTACCCAGAATCAAGCGGTCAGGGACTTTGACTACCATCGCAGCCAAGGCAAGAAGATCATAGATCCATGTCGATACCGAGACCAATTGTATATACTTCTTTGCACTTAAGAGATGTCTGTCTGGGAAGCGACTCTGACGTGGAGCCACTCGCGGGACGTCAAACGGGACCTCAACGTTGGTTCCTGCGGCAGAGATGATGGATCAGGTGGGGCGGAACCAGCGATGCTTGTGTTCTTTTCCCCTCCGTTTCCATTTAGTGTATGAGTTTGATTGGGAGTACTAAACCTGCAGGGAAAAGGAGGTCACGGTCACACTACAGGCTCGATAGACTCCTAGCCACCTGATAGCATCACAATAGTCGGTCACACGGGACCGACTACTACTACTTTGGAGGCAGCGTAGTATACCCAAGTCTTTTGCGAATGGTAATAGATGGTGTAGATGTGATGTTATCATGTAGAAATGCCTTGATATTCGCTGATCAGACGGCAAGAGTGACCCCACTGCCAAGCATGGGCTGCATCGCAGCCCGATGTATCACTTTCCTGTTTAGGGCACGGCAGCATCACTGACGGGCCGCTGCCTCAGGCCGGGATTGTTTTTGTTTCTTTTGTCATTTCGACTCCTCCTTGAATTCTAGATCTCTCGACCGCATCCCGGTTGATGCAGTCTCTCGTTCGGCTACCGGAATAGATCTATTCTTAGTCCCTCGTTGCAATCTGGATCATCCTCATGTCTCTCTCTCACCGCATTATTATCGCGCAATCATCTTGACCCGAGTATAAGATGGCTGTGATGCTCTCTTACTCGCACACCGAGGTAATGAATGTCATATGCATTTCCCCTCAGAGCACTGCCGAAAAAACTAACTCAGACTACCCCATAGTCACCAGCCACTAGCGCGTCTGGGGCCTCTCCTTGTTTTCTCAGGTGGATCTGATAGCCAGCACTATCATGGTTTAGTGTGGGCTTGTCTTCGTGAGATCACCTGCAGGCTTGAAGTGGATTGGCCGAGGACTGGTCGAGTCTGAAGCGGCTAAGGATAAGGTACATATGCCCACTCCGTCAACCCTTGCTTGTTAATCTCCGATCTTGTCTTCCGTCCAATGGTCGGGCTCCTCCTGGAATTCCGTGTTTCTTTCACCTGTCGGGCAGATGGATCGAGGCCGCATGAGTTGCTCCCCACAGAGCCTGGCAGGTCAGGCGATGCTGGGGGAGTCTCCATCATGCGCGCCCCCATTCCGCACTCCGTTTCTAGACCCTCACGCAGCGGGCTAAATTTGCATAGTTGATCGAGTCCTCCCCTGAATTGTCTGCCCTGCCCCTCTGGTATGCAGGCCCGACCCACTATATAAGTGTGCCTGGCATTCCTTCAGCATTCTTCAGATTCACATTCTCGGTGGCACGTTGAACGGCGGATCTCGATTCTGCTCTTTCATTCTTCAAAACAATCAGAAATTATTACGTACATAAAGGAGGATGTTCCCTGTATGCCTCGTTCGATACGGATCATAATGCATTTCCTCTCGTTTTGTCTGTCGGTGGCCTCCCTGCTGTCTTCCGTAGGAGCTGCGTCGACCTTTTCCCCTGCGAGGCCACCCGCCCTGCCCTTGGCTGTCAAGTCGCCGTACTTGAGCACATGGTTGTCTGCGGGCACGGATGGTGGTAATGGAGGGTACTTGGCCGGCCAATGGCCTACCTTTTGGTTGTGAGTAGCCCCGAGCTGTAGATATTCATGACGTCCATCTTCATGGTACTTTGACTGAACCACGTTCCTGGTGGCAGCGGCCAAGTAAATGGCTGGGCGGGCCAGATCCGGGTCGATAATTCGACCTACACATGGATGGGGGGTATCCCGAACACTCCCACGGTGAACCAGACTTCCTTCGAGTACACCTCAACTTCGAGTGTGTTCACGATGCGTGTGGGGGATATGGTGGAGATGAAAGTGAAATTCCTCTCCCCTATCACACCAGATGATCTCCGGAGACAGTCACTGGTGTTCTCCTATCTGGACGTAGATGTCGAATCGATCGACGGCAAAGCGCATGATGTACAGGTGTACGCAGACATTTCGGCAGGTAAGCAAGAGAATACCCCATCTGGAGCCGTGCAACGATCCGTCTAACCGGGCCATAGAGTGGGTGTCTGGAGACCGAAACGCCATTGCGCAGTGGGACTATGGTGTCACCGATGGTGGCGTTGCCTATCACAAGGTTTACCGCCAGACGCAGCTGCTTTTCTCTGAGAATACTGAGCAAGCAGAATGGGGCGAGTGGTACTGGGCCACAGACAACGGAGACGGTCTGACCTACCAGTCCGGACCGGATGTTGATGTGCGAGGAGCATTCGCACAGAACGGAAAGTTGGCCAACGCCGACGATAAAAACTACCGTGCCATTTCGACCAATTGGCCCGTCTTTGCTTTTTCGCGTGACCTTGGCTCGGTGACGACGTCTGCTGGCACGTTATTTTCCATTGGCCTTGCGCAGGACAGTGCCATCCAGTACAGTGGTAAACCTGAAGGAACCACCGTGATGCCTTCCCTCTGGAAGAGCTACTTCAGCACTGCGACTGCTGCGGTGAGTGGTTTCTTCTTTGGACTTAGAGTATACTCTGACAGTCTATGTAGCTGGAGTTCTTCCATCATGATTATGCTACTGCAGCTACACTATCGAAGGATCTCGATGACCGGATATCCAAGGATTCCATTGCTGCCGCTGGCCAGGACTACCTGACAATCACCTCACTTACGGTCCGTCAGGTCTTTGCTGCAGTGCAGTTGTGCGGGACGCCCGAGGACCCCTACATCTTCATGAAGGAGATCTCCTCCAATGGCAACATGAACACTGTAGACGTCATCTTTCCCGCTCACCCGATCTTTTTGTACACGAATCCCGAGCTTCTCAAACTGCTCCTGAAGCCAATCTATGAGATCCAAGAGAACGGAAAGTACCCCCACACATACGCCATGCACGATATTGGAACCCACTACCCGAATGCCACCGGCCATCCTGACGGCAACGATGAGAAAATGCCCCTCGAGGAGTGTGGAAACATGGTTATCATGGCCCTGGCCTACGCCCAGAAGGCTAAAGATAACGACTATCTCTCACAGCACTATTCCATCCTCCAAAAATGGACGACGTACCTCGTGGATGATGCTATTTACCCGGCGGACCAGATCTCCACAGATGATTTTGCCGGCTCTTTAGCGTAGGTGATGTGATGTACATGCACGAAATACGTGTCGATGCTGATGGTATGCACAGGAACCAGACCAACCTGGCGTTGAAGGGAATTATTGGAATCCAGGCAATGGCCGTGATCAGCAATACGACTGGCCACCCGGATGATGCGTCGAACCACTCCAGCATTGCCACGGACTACATCACGAGGTGGCAGACATTAGGCGTGGCGCAGAATGCCAATCCTCCGCACACGACGCTGTCGTACGGGGCTAACGAGACTCATGGTCAGTTCGCTGCCAGGGTACATTTACAATACTAACTTTCTTCAGGGCTTCTGTACAATCTGTACGCTGACCGTGAACTGGGCTTGAACTTGGTTCCTCAGTCGGTCTATGACATGCAAAATACCTTCTATCCGACTGTGAAGGAGAAGTACGGAGTACCGCTTGATACTCGGCATGTGTACACGAAGGGTAAGCTCGATGTTATTTTTAAGTTCCAACCAATGAATACTGACGGGCTTCAGCGGATTGGGAGTTGTTCACAGCCGCGGTGGCGTCGGAGAGCGTCCGAGACATGTTCCACAGTGCGCTTGCGAGCTGGATCAACGAGACCCCGACCAACCGTGCTTTTACGGATCTTTATGATACCCAAACTGGAAAGTAAGTGTTGGTCGACCGGCTGCTTGGGCTTTGCTGACCAATATAGTTATCCGGCAGGCATTACGTTCATTGCGCGGCCCGTCATGGGTGGCGCCTTTGCATTGTTACTTCTCGACTAGGGTTCATTCACTGTATATTGATTCTGTTCGCTTCTGCGCGAGTGGAGATACTCGCTTACTTTATTATATTTATTCTTACTAGGCCATTGAACCAGACTGTGACTGTTCATAGCGCATTGCATTGTAGCCTTGTTATGTGTCTGCAATATAACAGTGTTACCGTATATGATCTCCGGAACAGAGTGGTGTAGTTCACAGATGCTCCGAGGACTGTCTGGTTTCAACGCTGCTTCTATCTTAGCATATGTAGAGGTCGGGTATGTATTCCGCCATGCTCCTACTAGTGGGTATGCCTCTATCACAGATCGTACGTAGACTCAACCGAACTCTCCCACGCATCAAACGCGCGGATAAGATCTAGCAAGGTCAGCAATCATACTCTTCACAAACCCGACCAACAAGAGAGAAGGGAAAAGACATACCATAATACAAAGCCATCGCCTCCAAATGCACATCAATGGCCAATCTCTCATCGACGGTATGAATATTCAGCGCACCGCCCGCGCGCGACGGACTCCAGCGATAGATATTCCTCGACAGATTCCAATAAAACCTGGTATCGGTATTGCCCGTCATGATATCGCCACTAACAACAACCGTCTTGCCCTTCAGACTGGGCACCGACTCAAACACAGATCTGGTCACCCCAGCAAACCGCGTCCAAACGGCATCCACGCCCGTGCCCGTCGGACTGACCGGCGCCGGCGACAACACCTTACTCAGCGTCGAAATCGTCAGATGGTTCACCTTCCCTTCCTCGCCCTGCTTATCCTCCGGGAACGCCGCCAACGTCAGATTCAACCTCTCGACAATCGGCGCGATCAGCCGCACCGCCCGGTCCATGACCTCTTCCGGCGTCTGATGCAAGGCCACCCGGTAATTCACCACCGCTTCAACATGCTCCGGCAGTGCGTTGGTCTTCACCCCGCCGTGGAACAGATCCGCCGCCTGCGACGTCTGCAGGATGTACCGGAATTGGGCGCCGCGCGAGCGGGCCAGTTTCTCAGCTGTGGAGACGTGGTCGCTTGACTGCAGCGCATCGGCAAGCCAGGGCTCGACGCTGGAGGGCGAGTGGCGCACCTGGCATTCGAGCTTCTTGCGCGACGGGTGGGCGTCGTCCAGACGGGGCGTGAACAGCTCGTTGTTCTCGAGCGTGTAGATGATCTCGGACAGGATGCCGATACCCGTGTGTGCTGGCGGGACGGAACTGTGGCCGCCCGGCACGGACAGCGTCAGGACGAGGTCTACGCTGCCTTTCTCAGACACGCCGGGGAGGGCGTAGACCACTCCGTCATCGTCTTCCTTCTCACCGTTTGTATCAGAAGAAAGGGAAGAAAGAGTCTCCAGCCCCATTCCCCCCTCGTCCAGCACAAACTCCACCCCGTCCTTCCCGTACACCCCCTCCAGGTACTCCGCGATCGCCCCCGCGCCCAGAAACCCGTGCGACTCCTCGTCGAACCCGAACGCCAGCAGCACCGTCCGATTCGGCGTCCAGTCCTGGGACACCAGATCCTCGACGACCGAGAGCAGCCCGATCAGCACGTTCTTGCAGTCGCTGGCCCCGCGGCCCCATAGCCAGGTGCCGTCGTAGTAGCCCTCGAACGGCGGGTGCGTCCAGTCGCTGGCGTCGTTGATGGGGACGACGTCTTGGTGCGCGGTGAAGAGGATGGGTTTGAGCGTTGGGTCGCGGCCGGGGAGGGTGTAGACGAGGCCGAGGCGGTTTATGTGCGATAGGGTGGCTTTTTTGTGACTGTATTTATATTATTAATTGGTTGTTTGTTGGGGTGGAATTGTGCAAGGTAGGGTAGGATCGGGACATACACCAGGGGGAAAAGCTCCTTCAACAGATCCTGGAACTCGACGAACGGCGCGAATCCCTCATCATACGGATCTGTCAGGTAATCCGTCACGGTGGTGGGCACTTGCACGGCTCTGGAGAGACGATTCGCCTGCTGGGCGCGAATGGAGTCATCTTCGACGAATCTAAGCGCGGGGTGGAGACCATCCTCCGACGGCGAGATCTTGGGAGCTAGGGGGCAGATCTCATCGGACCAGGGATTGAGGACTTGCTGGGAGGGCCCGAATGGCAGCGGGATGTTGAGGGCTGTTACGGTCGGTGATAGCAAGGCTATCCAAGGCAGGGCTTTGGGGTGCATTTTGGGGGGGTTTTATTCCATATATTGTGGTCTAGACAAATGTGCTCATATATAGTTGGGGTGTATGTACGGGAGTGACAAGAGAAATGGGGTTCTGGGGATATATATCGTAGCTGAACGTTGTCGCCATTTCTTTGTCCGATGGCAGCGTTATCACGGCGGTCGATTGATTGATCGATTGACTCCGCTTCTTTCTCCGCTTCGATGTGCAGGACCTCGGATAATTGTCACTTCTTAATGGTGCAATCGCCGATAGAGCGGATTCGCCCGCTTTAGTCGCATTTCGTTTTGCCTGACTCGGAAGGTCGATGCCGTCTTGACAGAAGCTTGGTAGATGGCAATTGGAGATGGTCTTTTCTTCTTATCTTTATCTTTATCTTTGTCATCCATCTTCGTGGGAGCCAGACTTTGGAGACATGACCGCGTCAGAGGTGTTTGAGATCAGGGTCTTGGCTTGTTTTACCTGCGAACGCTTTTGTTTCCTTTCCTGGGCAGGAGGTCGCGTTCGCGTCAGCAGGATCTGGCTATATTAGGTGATTTATCCAGTGTTTCTGGCATGTATCAAATTTTTAAGTCTGTATCATCATGGATGTCCATGCCCTGACACAGGTCGACGAGATGAGGGGTAGCGAGAGAGGTGCATGGCCGTCATTCTAGAAGCACGCAGTCTCCGGTACCTAAGTTAGTCAGGTATGCTTGCTGTAGGTTATTAATATCTTCTGGCCAAGGGATAACTGCGCTCGTGGTCTACTGAGCATGACATCCCTTTATTCTTCGAAGGGGCTGATTTGGAATTGGTGGGTGCCAGACCCTATAAATGTGTGGGTGGAGTCTCTGGACGTGTCAATTCAGTGTTTCTCGTTCGGGTGGCAGGAGGATGAGACAGGATATTTATGGACTTGGGGCGCATGCAAGTATTTGCAATTCTCCATGAAGTCGATCTAGATGTCTGTCAGTAGTTCAAGTTGATGTTATTCCGTAGGACAAGGGTTGCGGTGGTCAGGTGCCGACCGATCCCGAGCATCTTAACAACTGACTTCAACTTTTACTTTTCCAACTTGACTCGCTCGCTACCACGCATTTTATTTTAGTTTATTTTACTGTATTTTTTCTCTCTGGACGGTGGGAACAACGTCCACTGACAGATGGAGTCGTTCCTGACTCTGCGAGATTTTACTGGCCCCATGGCTACCCAGATCAGCGACCAATCCACAGCCATGACGGCATTTCTCCCCGGGACAAAAACACAATAATCGATAGTGTCTCGCGTGGCCAGTCTCAGGAAGCAATAGTGCGTCGATCCGTGACATCACCGAGGGCCCAAGGGAGTGGGAACCTCTGCGTATGTTCGTTGGCCCTACGCTAAATTGCCCGACCACCGCTAAGCGACATGAACCGTCCCTGAAACGGGAGTAAGGGATTGGTTGAAACGCCCTGCCCAGCGGGGGTTTCAGTATGTCGATCGACGAGCGAACGGGAGTTCCTCCTCAGTCTTGACTTCCGTCGCAGGGAGAGAGAAAAATACCTTGGAGTTTTAGTTTTGGGTGTGTACGGTTTCTGCTGGCGATCTGCCCGATCGGCATTCTGTTGCCGTTTCATTTCTGATTTTTGTGCTCCGGGTTTTTTTTGCCCGAGGGATTGTCTTTCTCAAGGGGGTTGGAACTGCGTTTTACTTTTTTTTGTGTTTTCCTGGTGGAGTGCATGAAGGGAGCAGATCTTTTTATATTTGCCATTTGCCCCGTTGACTTGTCTGTGTTGTTTTTTGTTCTTCTGTTTGTTCGTTGTTCGCTCTTCGATATAACAGGCTTATTTAAACTATCTTTAACCTTTCTGTTTCTTTGTCTGTTTCGGCTTCGATCGTTCGTTCTTTTTATAACATAAACTAAATCTGCCCGGTGCCGAAGCACCATATATAGACAGACATTCACTCATTTCTATTCACAACCACCACTAAAACAAGAACACACAAACCAAAGAACCAAGAAAGAAAACAATATCCAAAATGACAAGAACAAGAACATTCATCCTCGGCTTCCTGGCTCTGTCAACGCCCGCAATCGCACTGAAGACAGCCTGCTACAATTCCCTGGGCAGTCTCGCGCCCTCGCACACGACGACAGAATACCAGTCCGTGGCGCTGTGCCAGCAATTCTGCAATGCAGAGAACAAGCCTGTCTATGCTGTCCAGGACAAGAAGTGTTTCTGTGGGGACACACTTCCTCCGCTAGAAGCCAAGGTTGAGAATACGGAATGTATGACGAGGTGTCCTGGGTATCCGGCTGAAAATTGTATTACACCCATAACCCAATCTATACACACATATATGAAAGAAAGATAACTAACAAGAACGCTACAGGCGGTGGCCAAGCAACCTACACCATCGGCACCAGCAAACGCCAAACTCAACGTGCCATCTACACAGCCCCCGTAACCGACGCCGAAACGCGTACCGAAACAGAAGCCAACGGCATCCTGACCGCACCCGACGTCGACGACGGCGACGCAGACCCCCTGGCCAGTCTCAGCGTGAATCCGACCATGGTCCGGACGGCCAGCAACGCCCCCACCGGCACGGATACCCCCAAGAGTATCCTGACCGCGTCAGCTCAGCCGTCTTCAACTATGGCTACCTCGGCTGCTACGGTGGCCCCCACGGCTTCTGCGTCGGCGGCGTCGTCCTCGTCGGCGAGTACTAGTGGGGTGGCTTCGCCGTCTGCGAGTGTGGCTACTGGTGCTGCTGCTGCTGGGAGGGGGGTTGGGAGGGAGATGGTGTTGGGTGGGATTGTGGCTGGGTTGGTGGTGAGGGGGTTGTTTTAGGGGTTTGTCTATAGTCTTGTAGAGGGGGGTTTGTTTATATCTTGGATTGTGTATCTTGGGCTCTTGTGATATCGCTGGCCGATTTGTTGACTCTTACTGCGGGTTTGTGCATGATACCCGATCCACTCGCTTAATCATAATATTGTTGAACGATATACCAAATAACAAATACTTGATTGAATGGCCATGTTAATGAAATAAATCAATAATCCATAAGGTCGTGAACCAAGACTCGAAGAACGCGACTCGCATCAGGGGTATCATTCTGTAGAACATATGTATGACAAGCCGAAGGAAGACAGACTAAGTGCAAGCAGAGAAAGATGCGAAAAGGAGCTACTGAGACACGTTGATGCCCTTGGCCGCGAGCATGGCCCGGTCTTTCTCTTTCATGGTTACATGCTCGAAGTTTGAGGGCAAAGTTTTTCGGTCCCTATTCCTGTTAGTTCTATTACCCGGATATGGATACAACAAGAGAGACATACTTGAGATATCTGATTTTGATGTTTCTCGCACGGTCCTTGAGCTGAACCTGGTTTCGCCCTTCAATGCGGCTTTCCCCCTCCCGAACGGGCTGCGCCTCGTTTTGACTGGCGATTTTGCACCACCCGCTGCCCTTGGGCCCGCCCAGCCCGACCTCTTCGATTAACCGAATCAGTCGCTTGTCCTCGGCCGCCGTCCATCGTACCGGCGCCTTGGTCGACGTGACCGTGTGTCTCGCGCTTGACGACACAGGGACGGGATTGGTGCTCCGAGCCGCTGCCTCAGGGGATTCAGGAACGGTGCTTCTGCGCGCGGTCTCTTCCAGACCGTTCAGCAGCTGGGCTGCAGACTCGTCCTGTTCTTCGATTCGCTGGCGTTTGTTCTGAGGCCGCACGGGCTTTTCTGCGCGCTTGCGGACGGTGTCGACGGGCCGACTGTAGTTGCTGAACTCGCCGTCGCTCTCGTCATCCTCCTCTGATTCCTGGCGTCGCCGTTTCCTGGAATGTACTTCAGGGGGGTGGCGCCGTTCGGCGCTTTGTGGGTCGGCTTGGCTGATAGGGGACACGCGGTGCGCGTTTGCTTGCCGGTCGATGAATCGGGAGGCCTGTTCGGGCTTTTTGCTGGGTTGCGATGATGGTCCGTCGCCGTTGGCTGCTTTCCACAGTTCAAGACTGGAGAGCATAGGGCGCGACGTCTGTGTAGAGGTCGGCTCGAGCCGTAGCTCGGGTGCGAAGAGTTTGGTCCTGACTGGGCCCAGACTGGCATACCGGGGCTCGCGTGAGGTCCTTCTCATCACGGGACTGTGGGACTTCTCTAACTGTGTGCGTTCGCCGACGAAGAGTTCGGACTCGCTGTCTACGTTGAAGTCATGTTCGTCGTGCTGAACGAGTGACGGGGATTCATGGAAAGTGGGTTCTTCGACAAGCTGTTCGGTGGGCTCTTCAATAGTTTCTTCATTGGGCTCGTCGATAGGTTCTTCAGTAGGCTCTTCGACAGGCTGTTCGGTGGGTTCCTCGATAGGCTCTTCAGTGGGCTCGTGAACATGTTCTTCAGTAGGCTGTTCGACAGGTTCTTCGGTAGGCTCCTCGACAGGCTCCTCAGCTAGCTCTTCAACAGACTCTTCGAAATGTTCTTCGGTAGCCTCTTCCGATGGTGTCCGTCTCGATAGCCGGGATGCTGGTAGGGTCTGACGCCGAAGCTGGGATGCAGATTCCTTCTGGCCATTTGCTGGAGCTGGTCTCGCGGCGCCATCCGATTGTCTGCGCACCTCAGAGTTCTTGACAGACGCCAGAGGGTTTAGCCTTCTTTGTGCTATGCGTTCAAGAGAAGATTTGTTCAAAAATGCCCTGACCAAGTTAGCCAGCTGCCGGGCTAAAAAAAACTCTTAACTCACGGTTTGCCAGATTTTCTCCGTTCCTTGGATTCAGCGGTCCTCGGCGTGTCTTTGGGAGTTGTGGGTGGGATCACTGAATCTCTTCGATTGTCGGGAGAAGCGATCGTGCTCTGTTCTTCTGTACGCCGGAGAGCCAAACTAGAGCGATCCGCCACGCTGCTACTGCGACGGTCCTTTGCGTCAATTTCCGCGAAAAATTCCTCCCGCGCAGCTTCTGCACTCTGCTGGCGGTTTAAGTCTTCGTCAATTTCCTCACACCGCTTGCGGATCCAGCGAGCCGCCCGCAGAAGGAAGCTCCGCCAGGGATAGGTGGTTTTTAGGTCGTCAATATCAAAGATGTCATCTTCATCGGGCAAGTTGGCAACCATTCTTCGAAGCGGTCGTATGCTGCCTCTCTGAATTCGTCGGGAAGAGACCCTTCAACATTAAGCCTTGGCAAGTTGAACCCACGCATTAGAGCATCGCTGCTGTCAAACGCTTCGTCGGCAGACACATCGAGAAAGAAGCCATCTTCCAAGATGAAGTTCGGATCGAAGCTGTGATCATGCTGATGGCCCTCTAACTGCATGATCAAGGACTGAGTACGGATCTCTAAAGCGAGCTGGAACGTGTCTTTAACCAGCGCGCTTTCCCCAACGGCATCACCCCGATGAGTGACCAGATCACGCATGAAAGGCAACGGAAACAGAGCTTCCACGTCCCTTATGGCCTTTTTGAAGGCGTTGGAATTGCCGCTAGCCAGGAGCACCTCCAGTGAAAAACGGGCACAGTTAGCGCGGTGGAGGATAGGCTCCGCACTCCAGTTCAACTCGGCCCCATCCTTCGTCAAGTGGGAGGAAAGGGACTCGTTAGCTCGCGTGACGTCGATGTACGTCTTACCCTCGAACCATCCGGGCTGGTTCTTGAAGGCGGCCTTCCGCAGGGTCAGACGTTTGCTTTGGGTGTTCCGGGGATCTGAGAGTCGTTTGGCCATGTTGACGATACTTTTGAGATCCGCGGAGCTGGGGACCAGAAAGTCGAGAACATCCTTTGCAGATCGTTCCAAGCCAGGAAGAGATTCGAGCATCAACTCTGGGTCCAGATCGTCCTCGTCCTGGTCGTCATCCTCATCCTCTTGATCTGTTTCTGCGTCAGGGACGATGATGGTGGAGCCCGACATCGTGTTGTTATGCACATCCTCAGGCGATTCAGGGATCACATGGCGAGCACGAAGTCCTGACTTCGTGGCTGGCTTGACCGGTGATTCTTCTGCGACGACACTCAAGTCTGTCATTGGAGATGTAAGTTCGCATTCAATGGGAGCGTAGAAAGTGCACTTCAGATATCCTCCAGTGGCGGCCAAATGGAGAGTAACAAACACACGGATACAGCGAGCCTCAGTTGAGGAACACAAGAGGACATGACTCTTTTTCGTCTACAGTGAATCAAACAAACAGTACTGACCATGTGCGCTCATTTTCCCTTTACCCTTCCATAGCCTGCTACTCTTGAGGGAAGACTTCCCAACAGAAACATCGTCTATCGGATGAGCCTCAAGCTCCCGACTCTGACTCCTCGTCCACCGTCTCCTCGGCGGACTCCCCTTCAACGCATGGATATCCTGCCCGGCAACGCGCGCAGCAATGCGAGCCATATCCAAAGGCGGTCAGCGGGCGGACTACACCCCAGCTCACTCTCAGCGAGTATACGGCGTGATATTGGGCCAAAACAGGTCCAAATAGGACGAAAATGGTGCCCAAGTCGATGGGGATCGATGGCTGTGGATAGTGAGCTTGCTGTGGATGGAAATGGGGAAGCAAACAAAGAGCGCAGGGAAGAAAACAAGGTGGCGCGCTTGAGGTTTAGGGTCGGCTTATGTAATCCGCTTTCATTGCCTGGTTTGGCACAATTGTTGCCTGACTGGTGCCTTTATGCCTGAATAACCCTTGACCCTAATCGTGACCCTAATGTCGGACCTAATGTTAAATCTAATGTTGGACCTTGACCCTAAAGCCGTGCATTTCGTGCCATGGTATTTCACCCCACCGGTTGCTGACCTTGGCGGTATTTGCAATTATTCCTTCCATTTCCCAGATCTGGAGCACATGCACTTCCCCTGAGAAACTATTGACAGTGTATGCTCAAAGCATCAAAACTCAGGGTATGTTAACATATTCTTTGATGTCATCCTGGAACTTACCCCTGGAGATGGTTTCTGCAACCATGACACAACACATGTCAACGTGCGACTTTATCCCAACCTAGAGATTGGTGAAATCTGAATCTACTACCAACTACATCGCGCATCTTACAAATGTCGCAGTACTTGTTGGCGAGCAAGACTGGTATTAACTACAGACACAAGGTGTCAGCCAGAAAGAAATACCGCAAGATACTGTTAACAGCCTAATCTGTCTGTTCACCCTTTCTATGACCTAGCAGTAGTTATGGTGATACAATGTTTGCGCAGACATCGATGCTACATGCTATTTGCTCTATCCCACGGACCATCCAAGTTTATGCAAATCGCTGTGCTCGATCAATGTCTCGTCTATCATAATCTCATCACACTCTTCTTCATACACAGCGCTATGCCCAACGCCCAGCTTACTCGGGTAGATTCCTATCCAATTCCCATTCCCAGGACACTTAGACTACTTATGATTTATCCTCCTTAAGCACCCTCTTCGACACCAGGGGACTCCCATTAAGAATCTTCTCGAAATCATGCGCATCGAGACACGCCTGTCTCGAATTCAAGACAGATGTTTCCGCACGGACAAATATATCCTGTTCATATGCGGCGACGGAAGAACGAAGGGCATCTAGTGTGAACGATCTACACGTCTTTATTAGCATATCACGCCAACCATGAACAAAACCACAGTGAGAATGGTATCATACTCTGTCGACGTAAAATCAATCCTCTTCACCAGATCCTGTACATCCACGATGGCGTTGTTGGCACCTTCGCCTCTGACTGTGACCCTTCTATTAGTATATATTCCAGTAAAATACAAACAACCAAAAAGAAAGAAAGAAAGAAAGAAAGAAAAACAAACACATAGTCATAGTATGCGCCGAATCGCCCACCAGAACCACCCGGGGATGGTCCCTTTGCCTCTGCGGAGTGAAAATCCAGTCCGAGACACGGATGGACACCACCTCCGTTGCATCCGGGATCTGGTGAATCAGGGACCGGAACGGATCGGCCCAGTTAGCCGTTAGCGATTTCATCAGGGCGATGCGGTCTGCGTTAGACTCCGGGACGTTGATGCCCTTTGACTCGGCCCAGGAGACGATGAGCTGGCAGTGGTATTTGTCTGTGCTGTCGGAGAAGTTGTTGGGGGTGTCGAGGACTATTTCTCGTTAGTTTCTGCATGAATGTATATGATGTGGATGATGATGGTGTGGTACAGCTGAAGAAGAGATACACGTTGGTATCTGGGTGTGCGCCCTGGAAGATGAAGGGGTCGATTTTCTGGGCGCCGTTCATTTCCTCAGGTGAGTATAGAGCTGTCGCGCCGAGGAGCTGCACGGGCAGGGGCTGCATTTCGTGGTCGTCTGGATAGAGGATTTGGCGCGAGAGCGAGCGCGAACCGTCGCAGCCGAGGAGGATGCGGCCTTGCCATGATGAGCCGTCTTCGAAATGGGCTGTCACGGATTCTGGAGTTGATTCGATGTCTTTGAGGGATTTGTTCCACTGTTGGTTGGATATTAGTTTGGCTTGCTTGGTAGAACTGTGTAATTGTGTTTATTTCTGTGAACCTCACCTGCACGTCGATCCCACTCGTCAATAGCTGACGCATTCGCACCCGACTAACCCTAATCCGTTCCGCAGCTGGAACATTATAAAGTGCCTCCCCTGACTTCAGATCGAAGAACTGGTAGCGGCCGGTATCACCCCGCGCAGCAGCTTCCTTGTTAACATATGTCTCTGGTAGTTGCGCGACGATGTCCTCAGGGAGCAGCTGGCGCAAGGCTGGCAATGCCCAGTGCAAGGTGAGACCCCATCCGCCGCTGCGGGCGTCGACCGCCGAGTCGCGCTCGAAGATCTGGAACGGGACGCCCTGGGTTTTGAGATACTGGGCTAGGATGAGCCCGCTGATGCCGGCGCCGATGATGAGCACGGGGAGGTGTTCGTCGGCCATGGTTGACGCTCGAAGGGAAAGTGGGATGTCCCGCCGATCCTGGTCTGTTCCTGGCAGGGAGAGAGGGGAGGGGATATCTGGATCCGTTGGGGGTGGGAGATAATCTAGACTCACCGGATGGTGCGATGCGTACATGAAAGGTGGACCTGGGCAATATCTAACATGTGGCCCGAAGCGGCAAAATCCCTGGCATAGTATATTGGAGCGCGATATAACGATGGTTTATTAAGGTTGAGCCGGCGCATTCATGTCTCTGAGCCCATTTGCTGCGGCCCAGGATTACATTGACAGCGTCCCCACTTGATTGAGACACGGTGAAGCAGCTAAGCAGATTAATCTCGAGGCGGACGGCACGCCGATATGCTTGAACTCGCTTCTTAACCCGTTCGGGATAAACCCGGCAGACCCCCTGGTGTTGAGTGCATGTAGCACGAGCCCTTTTTATCAGTTGCCTTCCTCGAGGATGCTCGACCCCTGCCTAGTGAACGGATGCTCCGTCGGACGAGGTCGTATTTGCGGATATCCTCGGAATCTTAACCATACCCCCCTTGCTTCGACGCGATATTAGTGCTTACGCTGGCCGTCTCAAGAGCAAATAAAAGACTCATGCTACGATACTCTGACAAATGAACGTCTTAATCAACCCTGTTATGCATGATTAAACTCCCCTCGATAACTTGCGCTCCAGCGACACCCGCACCTCCACCGTCATCTCGATCCCCCCATGGCCAGGCGCCACGCTATCCATGATTAGCTCCTCGCTGGGCGTTCGCCTCGGCGCGGACGCAGTCGATCGTAACTGCGATCGCGGATCCTTCCACGATTCCAAAACATAATGGCCCTGACTCTCGTACGCTTTGCTATTCGATCGGAAATCGCGCACCAGCCCCTTTAACAACGGTGCTAAGTAGGGAATGCAGGTAATGATGTTCTAGAAGGAAGTTAAATTGGTTTCATGTGATAAGCTTCTTTTTTCTTTGTTTTTAGTCCGTTCCGTGGCGGATTCTTGTGCGGATTCTTGTACGTAGTAGTAAATTGAGTACTTACACCCACGTTAAACTCGATCGTCCCCCAAAGCACCAGCGCAGTGGAGTTTCCGTCCCCGTAGGCCACGCGGTGGATCTGGGTTAGTCGCATGATGGAGCAGATGGTCGTGAATAGTCCGAGGAGGAACAGACACACGACGCCGGCTTTCTGGGCGGGCTTGATCTTCAGGCGGAGCAGGAGAGGGATCGGTAGGAAGATGATCATGAGGTCGCAGATGATGGTGAAGATGGCTAGCCCGTAGAATGTGCCTCCGACTGGGAGGCAGGTGCCTGTTATGTCTGTTCGCCAGGCTAGTTGGACCTGTTGTTCTTATGTCAGTAGTAGCTCTTTTGTTAGGAAATGAAGGACATACTGGATGACAGTTGAAGAGTAGGGCCAATGCGCCAGCAATGTGGCCCGCTGTCGAAATACTGAGCACCGCCCAGATGAGGATCCGGTAGATGGATAGTGATGTTTTAGTGAGAAGGCGTAGATAGCTGAGGCAGAGCGAGGCTTTGAAGCCGGCGATGCCGATCTGGTAGAAGGGTCGGCCGGCATAATTAAGCTGTACATGATTAGCTTGAGGATCTCATAGAGGTCAATGTAAAATGGTTACAGCAATGTACCTTTTTATAGATTGGGAGGTTTTCTTTCGGGCGCAGGTGAAGTGGGAGTCCCAGCCGTATCTGCTTTCTGTGGATGTGAGCGCTTGTGTGATGCTTTTGGCTAAGTCACTTACGAGAGATACATAGAGAGGAATAGATGACGCTGAACAGCTGGGTCAAGTTAGGATCGCCTCTACCTAACTATACGTTGTTTGCTATGAAGAATGCTACTCACCATACTCACCACCATCACATAGTCCGCAGTGCTCAGTCGACGAGCGTGCGCCCGGAGACCCAGCCGCAGACTGACGGTAATGACCATCAGAACAGTCAAGCTGAGACAGACACCCAGAATCTCGCGATACTGGGACTGGGCTTCGACCTCTGGAGCGGCATGGTGGACCCAGCCCATCGTTTAGGCCAGCATAGGTATATCGACGAAGGACGCAGACGAGGCATCAAGAAAGGCGCAGACATCGGAGCTGCGATTTTAACGCACGACTGCCTAATATGCGAGCTCTGGCTCATGACACCCATGCATACGCCCCCTTGCACCGCCTATCCCACCGTCTGGCCGTCAATCTTGTTTGCCTATTCTGAAAAGGGCTAGACATCATTCCAAGACAAGGATGAGACATTCCACCGAGCAGCATGGCGTAACCTCGTGTAGGTGTCCTCCGCAAGGAAATGCACGTTCGATAGAAAAACGCGCACGATAATCAAATTTACGTTGCATCTGATCCACAAGGATTTAAACCTCTAATTAAACTAAATCTTATGATCCCCCATGGCCTAGCTTGTTCAGCAACTCTGCTCCACCGCAACTCTGAGCCGATGCACACTAAAGCCGTGGTCCAGTTAGGGCAAACGCAAGCAGCAAGGACCAGAGCATCGCCGGGCAGGTCGCGCAATCGATTGGCGTCGGCGGAGGTTACTTCAATAATTAATTATACTTCGAGCCCAATAGAGTTTGCCAGGGTTAGTTCTGACTGCAGCTCTCGGAGGTTTTTCTGCGCTGACACTGGCAGCATTTCTTGCTTTCTTTTTCTTCTTTTCGTCCTGCCTGCGGCATATCTTCTCCCTTGAGAATTTTGTTTGCTTCTCGCCTTTTTGTTTTGTGAACATTTTTTTTTTTTTTTCTTTTTTCTTCCTTGCGTTTACTTGGGTATTAACCCCCAGACCTACATGGGGGAGGAGAAGACACATTCCGACGCCGTGGCGCATGCTATCCCTGCGAACCGAGTCGATGATGCAGTCGAGTACTTGGAGGGGCATGCCGGCGTCGCCGACACCCAGGATGTAGACATAAGCGCATTGCGTCGCAAGATCGATTACCGCATTATACCGTTCATGTTCTGCTGCTATGTGCTGCAGTTTTTGGACAAAGTGATGCTTAACGTGTGTTTGTCCCGCAATCCCTCCTAGCAATCATGTTGAGAACTAAGTGCGGTTTTAAGAGTAGTATGCGGCAGTTATGGGGATAAAGAAAGATCTCGGGCTCGTAGGCAACGACTTCTCGAATACGGCGACGTGGTTCTTCATCGCGTATTTGATCGCGGAGGTTCCAAACGGTATATACAACTACGTCTTTCCCCCCTCCCTACTGTCATAGTCTTGATTGATTGAAGTGAACATGGGAACTGATACGGACTGAGAACAGTGTACCTCCTCCAGAAAGCCCCCGCCGCAAAGTGGCTCGGCCTGAATGTGACTCTCTGGGGTGTCGCAGCAGCAGCCTCTGCCGGCGCCCATGATTACCGGAGCCTGCTCGTGGCGCGAATCTTCCTTGGCATCTTCGAAGCGACTATCGGACCCTCGCTCATGCTTCTCAGCAGCCAATTCTACACGCGCAGCGAACAGGCCCCGCGATTCACCTTCTGGTACCTCGGACTCGGCGTGGCGCAGATACTCGGCGGCATTATCTCGTTTGCGTTTCAGCAGGTGCATCACTCGTTTGCCGGGTGGCGGATTATGTTTCTTGTCTTGGGACTGGTTACGATGCTGGTCGGCGTGCTGACGATGCTTTTTATTCCCGATACGCCGATGAAGGCGCGGTGGTTGAGCGAGGGCGAGAAGGTCGCGTTGTTGCGACATGTCAGCGTGAACCAGACCGGGGTCTGGAGTAGCCGGGTCGATATGAGGCAGATCTGGGAGGCGGTTGGGGATGTACAGCTGTGGTTGTTAACGTTGACTACCATCTGTGTAAGTCTGCTATTCACTGTCTAGCAGAAGAGAAGAAAGTGAGTGCTGACAAGATATACGACAGACGTCTGTATCGTCCGGCGTGGTCACGACATACTCGGCAACCCTAATCAACGGCTTCGGGTTTTCGCCTCCGCACTCGGCGCTCCTGAACACGCCGTCCGGCATCGTCAGCATCTTCTTTACGTTGGCCGTGGGGATCGGTATCCGCAGGGTTTCCCACCGCTGGGCTTGGTTCGTCTTCTGCACTATTCCCGGGATCATCGGGGGCGCACTTATGTCGTTCTTGCCGAAGCATAACAAGGCCGGCGTCTTGATTGGCATTTACTTGGTCAATGCGATCGTCGCGACGCTGCCCATTCTCTATCAGTGGACGATGGCCAACTGTGCCGGACACACGAAGCGCGCATTCGCGAGTGCGCTCGTGGCTGGGTCGTTCTCCGTGGGTAATATTATCGGCCCGCAGACGTTCCAAGCGAGGGATGCGCCAGAGTATCGCCCGGCAAAGATCGCTGTGCTGGCGACGCAGGCAGCGGCGGGTACGTTGGCGTTTGTGTTGTTTTTGTATTACACATGGGAGAATCGAAGGCGTGAGAAGACTGTGGGTGAAGGCGATGAAGAGGTTATCGATGAGACGAAGTGGGCTGGTCTGACTGATAAGGAGAACCGATGGTTTCGGTATGTGTATTAGACTATCTGGATGAAAAAGGTGCTTTCTGGGAGGACATTGGATTGAAAGTGAATTTGGTGTATATAACAGATGTATATAGGAAGTATAATATATGCACGAGTCGATTAGAATGCAGGAGTCAAACATCAATCTCATTAGCTCATGGAAGAAGCTTTTTCATTAAAACGTAGTAAATGTCGAGCGCCCACCAGCACGTTGCGCTCTGGGACCATAAGTGTATATGTTACATGAGAAAATCCCAACACATTAAGCAAGAGCAAAATAAGCGGTCTAATAAAGGGCTTCTATCAAGTAGATAGCGCCGAAGACCAGGAAAGCCGCAGCACCGCCGAGAGTCACTGCGATCAAGTTAGCGGATATTCACAGATATAGAGGAATCGCTGAAACACTTACCGACTCGCATGCTAACGCGACCCGCAATAGCACTTCCTCCAATCACGGCCGCGGCGGTGCAGAGGCCGTGCCCGGAGATCGCACCGACGGTCACCCACCAGTAATCCTGTCCCGCGGCCATCGCAATGGTCGCAATCTGACTGCGGTCACCCCATTCGCCAAGGAAGGTCATGACGAACGTCTGGACCCATGCGGGGCTGAGAAGCAGAGAGAAAAGATTGTTCATGCCAGAGAGCATGTCATCCAGGCGCCGGCCCCGCGAGGGGGATGATCCGCGGGACGAAGAAGAGGAAAGGCTCTCAGGCGGCGAAGGCAGACGGTTGCCCGCCGAGCGAGACTTGCCGCGACCAGCACGGCCTGATTCCAGAGAGTGAGGGGTCACGGACGAGCGACGCCGATTCATACGCAGTTGCTCCTGTTCCTTTTCCTCGAGTTCCATCTCGACCTCCTTCATCTCCTCGCCAACACCTTCGTCGGGCGACATCTCTCGGCCTTCCTTCAGCATCTTCAGTCCAAACACGAAGAACAGGATGGCCGCCAACAGCTTGGTCATGGACTTGGGGATCAGTGTCGGAACAGCGTGTCCGAGAATGGCTGAGAGCACGGTCATGACAAAAAGCGCGGCGAAGGCGGCAGAGAATACGAGGAGACGGGGGTGTCGCATCGCCATTAAGGCAGCGACCAAGAATGTTTTGTCGCCAATTTCGGAGACCACGATCATAGTAAACGAGGCAATGAGCGAGTGCAACACATCTACTGGCTCTTCGGGTGTACCGGGGAGCTTGCCGGTCGAGCCCTTCGGAGTATTAAGACCGAGGGGGTCATCGTTCACGGAAGGCGGCGATTTGGGAAGAGGGATGTCGTGTGGTTTCTCAGGCAGATCGGCGGGTTTCTGCAAATTAAGTCAGTCATTGGACGCATAACAAACGTAGAAATTGAATTTTACCTCGACGACGCCCATTTTGGAATCCGAGGTTTTGCCCTCCTTTTCCTCAGACGCAGGGGCTTTCTGCTGTTCACTATGAGGCAAGGGAGGGGCTTCCTTCGGGCTATCTGGCACTTTCTCGCCTGGATTTGTGCTGCCCTTCTGCTTCTCTGACACTCCGCCCTCTGTTCCACGCGTGCCCTCCTTGGGACCCGTCCGATGTGGATCATCCATGACCCCATCGTTCGAGTGAGGAATTGGCTTGCCGTCAGGACCTAAATGTTCCGTGGACTTGGTGTCCGCCTGCTCCTCCATCTTGGCGGTGCCGGTTTTCTTGCGATCCCGTTCCGCGTTGGTCTCAACCCAAGGACCAGCATGTGGCCGGCCATCTTTGCCGTCAACCGGGGCGTCCAGCGTCCCTTTGGGGGAGACCTTGGGGGCAGCGAGTTCGTCTACCACGGCATTGGGGACCGTAGCATCGTGCTCTGCAACGGTAGGATTGAGCGCACTCGCCGGATTTGGTGCCAAGTCTGTCAGGGCCGTCGCGATGGCGGGGAGGAGAAAGAGGAGAAATGGTGATGAGAGGCGCTGCACCTTCATGATGATAATGCGGTTGTATATGTTCTAAAACAGAGTCGAAATTGAGAAATGTTCACGGGCGACAGCCCATGAATGGTCAAGGGGTAATTCGCGAAGTAGACGAATTCAGGACGCTATGATCGACGACGATCCGTTGATGCTAAAAGCCACGATAGCAAATTGTAAGCGGATTACTATGGCGCCGTCGAATGATCGTAGCAACGATGAAGATTGGGGATATAAACGAAGGAATGGAAATCACAGAAAATATTAGCAACGAGAAGACCCCATGAAGAAGGACAGGAGAAGCAGCGCAGGACAAGAAATTCCTGGTGAAATTAGCCAAAGGCTGGGTTGGCCGCAAAGGGCAAGGGGCAATCGCCCCGTCACGTGGCTCGGGCCGTTTGCGGTGCGCCTTATCACACGTGACCATATATGCAGACAAACCATGCAAACCCTTCCCATTCCAGCAGCCAGGCACATGATTCCCCTGATTGGCTGATCACTAATTTTCCTTCTAGAATCTCTTCATTTATTCTTCATATCGAAAGATCTATATGGACATGCTGGAAATGAGAACCCGAAAAAGAGACCGAGTTGAAGCGGCTGATCGGCACCAGAACTCGTCATGCTCCCATTAGCTTAATCTACGTTCCACTATTTTTATCCTGCCAAGATCGTATTCTCCACTACATTACACATCCTCCCTCTTTTATTGGAAAGAAAACAATATGATAGTGGGATAGGGGTGGCCGATAGTCACCATTCGATTCCAGGACTCAGTTCGGCAGGATTTGACTTGCTCCCGCTGGCTTCAGATCTCAGGTACTCTTACTTAGGGACGTTCGGAATTGCATTACAATCGACCCAGATGCTGCAACAGCGGTGACGAGCAAGAGACGGCTGTCTATCTTTCGAGCCAGAGTTTGGGGTACATCGAGTCTGAAAATGTCCTTCCGGATTATGTAGAAGGGGAGATTATTCCATCGTTGCTCTTCGTGACCTGCGAAACCTCGGTGCACTGGACGAGAGGGCCTTTGGGGAATTTACGTAACGGGATCGATACTTGCTTCGCTTGTCGCACATATAACACGCGAAGAAGTGTTATTTGGCACCGTTCTCTTTCTTTGAACAGCAGCTTGTACTAGGCCTACCACATTGCAGTTCAAGTACACCGTAACACAGAAATATACCGAGGAGGCCCCTGCCAGCGGGATGAGCCTAAGAATGAAAGATGCCAAGTGATGGGAAAAGTATAGAACATAAGACAGAGCTTAAATAATCACTAGTTATATTCAACAAATGCGAAAGCTGTGGGTGCCAGGTTACGACAGATGCGAGGCTCTAGGGTCGTTGCAGTAGCGGGCCACGGAGAGCAGAACTAGCCCTAATACCGCTACCCTACGGGAAGCATCAGAGGTAGCCTGAGGATGATGGCCACTGCCTGGACTTTCCTTATATCATTTATCTTTTGAATCTACAACTGGAGAGTATATATTTTTGCTTGTTTCCAAGCAGGAACTCCACCGGCCGCTTCGAAGTGCGGCATAAACATTCCCGACTATGAGTATGCCTTCACTCTCCAGATTTCGAAGTACTTAGTTCTTGATGACCCCTGAACATTGGAGGCGATTCTGCCAAGGTCCCGTCCAGTGAGTCTACAGGAAACCGATCTGGGTCGAGTCAACCACGTTTGTAGACTACTAGATGGGGCACGGTTGGGGCCGGGACAGGGCATTGGGTAGGCTGCAGTCATACCGTATATCTTGTTGTTCTATAATAAACTTAATAACTGTTCTTGGGAGAGATCTATTCTATTCTCAAAACCACAACAAACAGTGGGAGTCTTCTATTGTAGTGTAATTCCGTAAAGTCCCGGCGGGCTTTGCGACGATCATTCTTCTAGTCCTCTAGCATGGTGACGTGGTCCTGCATGGAGGTCCAAACCAAGTGAAGCGGGGTCTGCGCCGTGGCCCTAAGATACTGCTGAGAAGATAAAGTGGTTTCTCAGTCCCCATGTTTTGGATTCTGAAAAGTATCGAATTAACGGATTCAAAATGCCACAGTTCAGATACTCCGATCTCCCCCCAGGAAATGACAGGACCCGCCTGCTTCGCTTGTTGCCAAACGAAGACAACACTGCCCCGATAAGATGTCAGCTTCTCAACCATTCTCTCCAGAAAAATAGAAATGGAGCTCACCTATACGACGCCTTATCTTACGTGTGGGGTGACCCAGCCAAGTCACAGGTCATCTATATAGAGGACGGGGAGTTCAAGGTGAACCAGAATCTCCATTCGGCGCTTCGACGACTTCGTGATCCTACATTCGAGCGGATACTATGGGTCGATGCCATTTGTATCAACCAAGGCGACGATAGAGAAAAGGAACGACAGATCCAGTCGATGGGAAAGATATATGCTGGGGCGAATCAAGTGGTGGTCTGGCTTGGCGACGAGGCTGACAAGAGCAGTGACGCTATGGACAGCATTCGTGCGAAGGCTGCAGGCTCATATGGAGTATCTGAGTACAGAAATGCGAGCATAGACGAGGCAGCGTGCAGTAAGCTGTGTGAGCGGCCTTGGTTTCGGCGTATTTGGGTCAGTAAAACACACCGGCAATTCTCCGGCGCAGTATATCATTAATGATTGATATAGGTGGTTCAAGAGGTTGGCCTAGCAGGAAATATTCGGATTTTGTGTGGTTCTGCCGAAATAAACGGACACGCATTCGCCATGGCCTTAAGAAGAGATAGAAATCCCGCCGTGCGCGCTATGGCTGATAATATCGGACAAGCGATCTTTCGACCCCAAAATGGGATATCTCCGCTGAAACAACTCTCCTTGGGAGAATTAATCGATGGATATCACACCCACGACGCTACTCTCCGTCATGATAAGATATATGCCCTCCTCGGCATGAGCTCCGATGGCTTGAGTGTAAAAGGTCTATTGCCGAACTATGAACTCCAGTGGGAGGAACTGTTCGAACGACTAATGAAGTATGTCCTGAGTGCCAAGGTGACCGTCAGAATTGGACAGGATAAAGATACTGCAGTCATCCAGGCGAAGGGATGGGTTCTAGGTATAGTACATGCAGTAGAAAGGGATGACTGGAATCGCCAAAAGCTATCGATGTATTTGACCGGAGACTGTGTCGGGAAAACGAAACAGAAAATCGGAAACTGGGAAACGAAATTGACTGTCCGAGATTCGGCCAAAGACGTCCGAAGAGGTGACATTCTTTGCATTTTACAGGACGCTGCTGACCCGATCATTATCCGACACTTTCAGCATTATTTCGAGATCATTCTGTTCAGAACGAATTGTCCGCCGAGTATATGGCCGAAGGTCTTTCCCTCGGGATATAAACGAGACAGGGAGGATCGGTATGCGCGAAACTTCTATCTGGTCTGGAGCTGGAAACCATCCTCGATGGACACAGATTCTCTGGTGTCAACGCGTTCCGGGACAATTCCGGGGACAGATCAGATGCTATGGGACGCGAATCTCATCTTGCACGATACAGCAGATGGTTACAGAGCAGCCAGGGGTGTGGCAATTGAGTATTTAGCTGAGATGCTCAAGTTATTCGCGAAAAGGCTGGGCCATGAGCATCCAAAAACACAGTTGGCTGTGTATGGACTTGGCCTACTGAGTGCGGGGGTGTCGCTGCGTACCAGGTTCGGTAGAGAACTAAAAACCATATATTTGGATGAGGACCTGCTGAGGAAGGTAGGAAATGGCTTTTGCATCTGGAGGTATCTGGATGATGAGCGGTTTACTACTGGAAAGCTGCTCGCCCCTCCCTTGCGTCAGGAAAAAATGGAACCTGTGTTAAAAGCAGCTAATCGGAGAGATTGCTATAATTTATAATTCAAGCAGAGGGGCTTTTTTCAATTAAAAGAAAATACATACTAATAGAAGTATGACACGCATAGAATTCGACTAACATATACACCACTCCTATTCTACAAAGCACATGTCTAGGAACAGTTAGTTCCGCCATAGACGAAGGTTCCATCGGAGTTCTCGCAACCACATGTGCCGTCGTCGGGGCTTTTGATGCATCCAGTTCCGACACCGGATGACTCTCCGTTATCACTGCACAGCAATTCAGTCAGTATAGGCTGCCTTCTAGGGCATACATGTATTCATGGTAGGGGGGTAACTTACTTCCAGAAGAAAGTCCAGCAATCCTCATTGGAATCCGTCATCTCTGCATCGGTGGGTGCAGTGCAGGTGTAGGCCTTGCATGTTCCGTAGGGGGCTCCGTGAGAGGAGTCGTATTGGTGGTCAGTGACAAAGACAGCAAAGGTTTGTGTCTCTGTTGATGCCATTAGTATGGACTCAAATAGGAAGATCAGTAGAAAGGAGTGAGGGAGCACACCAGAAGTTCTCGTGTTGTGGGAGCACTCAGCAGCCTGGATGGCAGTGGACGTCTTGGCAGCTGTTTACTTGTGTGAGTATTGTAATAGGCTTGCAAGACAAGACTACATACGGTCGCAATTGAGTGTGCCAGGGCACTTTCCCTTGGTGTTGGATGACGCCGGGGAGAGAGTGGCGGTCGCCAGAGAGGCGCTGAAGACGAGAGCGACGAGGGATTTAGCAGACACCATGTTGAGAGGTTGTAGTCAGAGTGAGCTGTCGACCGGATGGTCATAGGGATGATTGCAGTGCTTTTATATTGGAGGGTAATAGAAAGTTTGTATTGCTATCGGCAGTCCTCTCTATTAAACTAAGTCATGATGAAACTACGGGGTAGTCCGTTTCACGAGAGTGGATCATCACACCGGTCGTTCTAGAATTGGGTTAAATCCCGAAGCTCTCCCGGATGATTCGAGTCAGGAGAGCTTATCTTAATTAAAAAGGCCTACTTGGCTTTTGCTACGAGACTGCAGACTTTTGGGACACTATAGTCAGGCCACACTGCGGTAAAGCCGTGAGGGATTGGCGCGAGTTGATGTTGATAGATGGACTCTAACTGATCTACCAGCCGACCCTATGACAACTATCACCAGAGGTAAGTAGAAATAGTACATGTATTCTCTATTTGAGGGAGCATATTGGAAAGATAGAGTCACGGATTGGCATGACGAATGCCGCCGACAATATGCTCTACAATCCCGGCTAATCAAGTCTCATCACATCAGATCTGTCCGAGAGCTGACGTTTTCGAGACCGCTGCTCCACAAATATTACGCTTAGTCAATTTTTAACTAGCTATAAGGAAGTCATCCATGCAATATATGTTTCATATGTGGATAACGCTAGTGACTTGTAGGGATGCAAGTGGCGGAGCACAGCGATCTTGTCCACAACGGCCATATGTGCGTCGTTATATTTTTGTGACTTAGGACTCCATACTTGACGAGTATTTAGCCTAGTAGGGATGAGTAAAGTAGGGGAGTAGCAAACATAGATCTAGAATTACGGGTGGCCCATCCAAGAGATACGCCTTTGACATCACACAAGAGGAGGTAATTTAGCAATTTCTACAAAAGGCTCGACTCGGAAACACCGACAAATCCTTGATAGCTACATACTCACTTCGTTATCATCAGGCAAACATAGTAACGGGTCCTCTTTTAATCCCTGAGAAAGCTTCTATGCGGCTGTGCGTGTAGAGACCTCTTACTATTATCGTATCTTTTCCCTTGCACCAGTTCCCAGGTACATTCATTTGTTGATATATAGTAACCACATAATGTGAGAAGTAACCAGTGGTTTTAAAGTAATTCTATTACACATTATTACGATGCTCTAATATCAGTCCTGGTATCTCACCCCGGTATCGAATGACAGGAACGTCCAAGTTTATTACATATGGTACCTGTGATATAGCACCGTATTCCCAGACTGCTTTTCAAACAAACTCAACTCATTGTCGAAGTAAAATCTAGCAGCAACTTATGCATCGCCACTCCGATGCTGTGCTTGTTTCCTCCATGCGCCGGCAAACCTCCACTGTATAAAAGGCCCAATCAATGCCACAAGCTGCACAGCGACACATATCGTGAACGCCACACCAACACCAACACCATTGACCATGGGCATGACAAAACTGGTACCACCAGCAGCAAACAGACATCTAGCGAGATTCAGGCTGGCACTGGCTGCCGCGGTTCTATCAGGAAATATATCAACGAGATACGTCATGATAACAGACTGAGTCGAGACCGCCGTCCAGCCTGTGATGAAGGTAGACACAATGGGAACGGCGATATGGACGCGATCCGGGTACTGAATGGTCCAGCCAAAGAGAATGATCGAGAGACACTGCAAAAGCGAGAAAACCGGCACTAGTCGAAGACGAGCCTTTTCAATCGGGAAGTCATCTTCATCGCGGGTTCCATCATTCGCAGCCTCGGCGTCGAGCGAAGATTCGTATTGTTGTTTGGCCCGTTGGTAGTCCATGTTTAGGATTTTGCCTGACACTAGGGTCCCGATCATCGAGCCTACGCCGTTGGCTATGAAGGTAAGACCGATCTGGGTTTCGCCGAGACCGTAGCGGTCTTTGAAAAGTGAGGACATGGCGGTGATGCTCATCTGCCAGACGGCGTAGTAGATGGCGAGGAAGAGGATGATTGGAGCTGCGTGCTGGGTTACGAGCATCCGGAGGGGGCCAGTCAAATCGATACGTTTCGTTGCTGATGGCTGAGAGGCATCTGGGTCGCCTTCTAATTTCCACTGTACTGTGGTCGTTTTTTGATAGATGCTTAACGGATATCTAGCCAGTGGGTTCGACGGCGTCGTGCTTCCATTGGCAACCACCGATCGAAGTGTTTCCGGCAAGAGAGCAATGAGTAAGGCCAAGAAGACGCCACAGTAGATGGCGAGGAACCAAAATACCGAATGCCATCCTAATGATCCGGCCAGTGCGCCTCCAATCACTGGGCCAACAGCAACAGGGACGAGGAGACCTGCTTGAAAGATTCCCATAAAGCCTCCTCGTTCAGCGCGTGTGGTGATATCACCTATCACCCCAGAGCCGATGGCAATTGTACTGGCACTACCTGTGCTCTGAAGGCATCTCAGGACAATCACTGTAGCGTAATTCTTACTCAGCGCAAGCCCAATGCATGCGCCCAGAAATACAATGAATGTACAGATGTAGGCGATTCGACGCCCCTTTACGTCTGACACTGGACCCCAGAGACTCGGTGCTAGTCCCTGGAAGATAAGGTATGAAGTAACTGTCAAATTGACAAGTTCGAGAGAAACACCGAGATCATCCGCAATGGTTGGCAAAGCTGGAAAGTATATATTTGACGCGAAACCAGAAACTGTAGTAGATGTCAGCCAGCCTGGCTTTACGTTATATAGTAATCTACGGACTTACAGGTTGCAGCAGTCGACACAATTGCAATGATTAGCCATTTTTGTTTTTTATCAAATATGCTATAAGGCGCATCTGGAACGGCGGGGGATGCTGTCGCAGGAGTAGCTTGCGATTGGTCTGCCGTTCCTTGGGCAGGCGTTGTGTCCTTCATAGTTAGTGATCTGTTCACAATAGTTTAAAGTAGTTGAGCTAGGGACATATACAACCGAGATAGTAGGCACGACGTGGTATATATATGGATCATGACTGTGTGGCAAATGGTGTTTACTTACTAGCGAAGCTGAGATCGGAATTCCGAACAGGTGTCTCGGAGTTGAGGGTCCCCACTCCGTTAGGATCAAAATCTCAGCAACTGCAGCTTTATAGAGATACATTTTTGCGACAACCTCTCTTGGCCCCTTGTCAATAAGAATTACTCACATACCTCCCTCAGCCTACAGATTCAATTCATCGGTCAAGATGACACAATTGACTAACGACCCCCCGAGCTTCGGTGAACGTCCTGAACCTGGACTGCATAACAGTCCTGATAGACGCTGCCAAAGATACGCCCGAAGGACAGGCATTCATATCAAGTTGTTCTCGGTGGAATGACGCAGTACATCAAAAGATTCCTCGCCCTCTTACTATTTTTACGACACTATCTTTCGAGCGTGGCCAGCCTGAGGTACAGGATAACACGCCCTTTGCCAGGTTGACTGCACCATCTGGGACGTCGAACACAATTCGCCCGAGGCAAAGATCGCTTCTCAGTTTCACACCGACGAGAATGATATTATACTTCGTAAAACCCGGTGGTACGCTACCATGGGTATCAGTCTGGAGCAGATACTGAGGGCACAGCAGATCGACACAGTGGTTGATATTATTATCGCTAACATAGGGGCTATAATCCGGACTAACCCTTTCTGGTGTTTTGATGAGCACCACCTATCAACTGTTCGACTTGGACTACAACATCTATGTGATCAGGGACGATGTAGTGGAATTGCCTGTGGATGCATTTTCCGAGGTTATGCTGGGTATGCTTCTGCCAAAGATGAACTTAAAAGTGATCTCCCTCGATGAGGCTTTGCAAGCATTGGAAAGCTCTCATAGTAACATCTTGGCATCACTCATATCAACATTATTAACTGCACAAGCGCGCATACTAGGCCTAGATTTTGACCTATCCACCCAAGGGTCCAAGGTATGGATATGGTGGATCGGGCTCCCGCTCGTGGCAAACGCGAACATCACTCGGGATCCCGCTCACTTTGGTGTCCAAGCCCGGCAGGAAATCTCCACCTGGACTACTCTATTTGCATGTTAGGACATTTTATGCGATGCGTACATGCTACTACCGTACTGAGTAGCTCATCTTAGCGATACTGCCATCCTCGTGCTCCCCATCTTCTCACAAGAATACTTGACCTAGCATGAACAGAAATCGGAAAACCGACTCTGGAAAATCCTGCTCCGACAGAGCGCCATTGGCTCTTGAACCAACGTTGAGCACTCAATGGCTGCGAAGATTGTATTATCCGATATGAACTATATTGAAAGGGGTTCACTTGTACCTAAAACAAGTGGCAGTGGTTTGTCCACTAAGGGGCATGTAGCTCACGCATCAAAAGCTGAGGAGCTTTGACTCCGTACTAAATTAAGCTTTAGCCATGCTTTTGAAGCTGCTGTCTGTTCACCAAGTGGGCTTCTACCGAGTGATCTAGTGGGACTACGATGGTGGCAGGACATAGTACGTCGGCTACTGGTACCATTTAAACTAGTACGAAAGAGTGAAGCTGTGATGATAGCGATAGCTAGTGCGTGCAATTTTGATTTGGACCAAGTATATTGCTTTGTTAGGTGGAGGTATCTATGTCAGAGTTCATCTTCAATACTAATAATTGTGCAGATCCATGGAGATAATACGAGGGTAGAGTATGTCAGGATAGGATGCTGATCAATTTAGGGAATCATTCAATATGAACATGCAGGGGCCATGTGGCGCTTGTGAGCTCACATTTCTCTACAAAGACACACTACATTCTGTTCTAACTATATAGGGGTACCACCTGCTAGGATGAAGGCCTCCACAGACGAAATTGTTATTCAATTTCCCACAGCTCGTATTCCAGCACCGCTTCTCTCCGTTCAATTGAATACGATCACACAGGCAGCACTACTGCACAATGCGCTTCGAAATACTTAGCCTCATCGCACTCACTGTTGGCGGGAGTATGGTCTCCGCCTTTGACCTCCCTTCGACCTATTGTGTCCGGGTGATCCCTCAGGTCATCAATGCGCTCAACACGGACAGAATCTTGGACCACGCACGAAGCAAAATATGTGAAGCCGGATGCGAAGTCACGGTGCTCGACTATGAGAGCAAAGTGCGTGAAATGGGGATTCAGATCATCAAGGCAGAGTCTGAGGAGATGGGCGCCCCTGAGCTGAGCGAGCAGTACATCACACTGCTGGATTCCATCTATAAGACGGCTCTGGAAACGTGTGAAGCGAAAGAGTTTGGAAAGAAGAACATCTGCGACGTGGAGCCTGCGCAAGGAAGGCAGGTTGCGCAGTGCGTCAAGCGCAACATGCTGGGCATTATGTTTGACCAGCCTCAGGCTTTCTGGTCGATTCTCACGACGAAATGTGAAGAGCAGTACCGGTTCTTTTCGAACGAAGATTTGTGGGAGATAAAATTCCCCGGACACATGGAAAAGTTTGCTGCGGAACAATGCTAAGGTAGGCGCTCGGCGTGGAGGTGTATGGAGGATGATGATGCTGACCGAGCGACAGAAGGGCCTGCTTGGAGAGAAGAAGATATGGGGGATTTGACAAGAAAGTAATAGGTAATTTAGCCGTGGAATTATGGTCACGTCGGAACGAGTTCTCTTAATCAGTAAGGGGTTAGGGCATCGGCTATGTGAGAAATGGATTAACACTGTGGATCCACAGTGTTAAGAGGACTAGAAAGAATGAAAACGAGATTTGACTATGCAGCAATGGAATGATTGATGCTTTACTAGCGGTAATATGATTCAAATAAGGTAAATTCAATTTAGATTGTATTTACCCCCATTGGCTCTGATTATCTCGAAAGACTTGTGATCAAGCCATTCTATTAACTGAGATTCGCGGCCGAGGATTAGTGGCAAACTAGAATTCTCGAGATGTCTAACTTATATCCATTAAAAAATGTCATGTGAACATGAGACAATCGCATCCATGGTCGAAACGGAAAATATTGTAATGAGGATTTAGGGATATAGGGCATCCGACAAGGTATGAGACATATCCGCCGATGGTTACATTTTACCAGGTTAATAGTGGATCTTCCCTGTCCATAGTAGCAGGGGACTCATTCCTGCCTTAGACCATTTCGTGGCAAGTGGCAATAAGAATATTTGCAGCCTAAACAGGAGGGGGCAAGGTGTAAAAGTGAAGGATATTGCTTTTTTTCCACGACTATTGAGCGCCTTGCAGGCGATAGTTCCTATTTCAGCTCCCCACATCACACCTCACATGTCTTGTTTGCTTTTCAGAGCGCAGCTGAACTCTTCAACATCCGTGACGTAATATATTTCTACAAGGTAGGATCGGGGGAGAGAGTTGCACCTGCTCCTGGGAGGAGAAGCACGCTGCATGATAAAAACAATAACAGTGCAATACCATCGCAACCGCCTCTTCAAAATTTTGATTCAACAATATATAAATGATTCCCTGGTGGTAACATGTCTAAAACAGACGGCTTGATCAACTGTCAAGTGATACACAGTGAGATCGTCACTCTCATCGCTCTGCAGTATGCGAACATTCTGGTGAACTCCCATCCTCAAATAGCACAAGGGGTCCAGAATCACAGCTACTTTCGCACCAATCCCACGTCCAGAATTTACTACAGTTTACTATATATCCAAGGCGTGTGCGGAACACCAGAAGAGAGAAACTGTGTGAGCAGAATAGTCAACAAGGCCCACCGCGGAGTGAGAGGGCGAAACTACAATGCAATGGATCCCAAGCAGCAGCTCTGGGTTGCTAGTTGCTTTTTCGTCGCAACATTAACCGTGCAAGAGACCTTCTTCGGGCTGCTGGATGAGCAATTGACAGAGGCCCTCTACCAAGATGCATCCCGATTTGGCACATCCCTGCAGATGCCTCTGGAAATGTGGCCAGAAAGCATCCACAAATTCTGGGAATATTGGAACCATGAGATTCGCCATTTTGAAGCGACGCCTGCAGTACTTAGTGTGGCTCGTGATGTTCTATATCCTCACAACCTACCCCTCTGGATATTGGTTGCCTCGCCTATTCTGCGCATCTTTACGATCCATTGGCTCCCCGAGGCGTATCGAGCGCGGTACGAGCTCCGTACTACATGGGTTACATCTTTGGTCTATTGTACCTGTGTGTTTATCTTGCGGTGGGTATATCCACTGTTGCCAGAGTTCTTGAGGCATTGTCATGTTTACTATTTGAAGAGAGAGTTACGGAGATATGTCAAATAGAATTTCATTCCTCCCCTGTCTGATCTGTGCGTTGATGGGATCATGTCCGCGAGAGTGTCGCTTCTTTCTGTACTCGATAATGCAAGGATACTTTTTAGTTTGAGGGCTTAACTAGTTAATCACTGTGTCGAGACGGTCACTGAGGCCACTGACCTCCCAACCATTACCGAGATCGAAGCGGCAACGGACGTTCTCAGCATGCCTGACAATTCAGCCAAAGTGGTTCGGGTGAAGTCCGACATCTGTACGAGATTGCTGGCACATTCCCTGGCTGCAGTGGCACCCGCACGTTGAGCGACAACATTGCCGATCTGAAGGCGGCCGTCGCGTCGAACCAAAAGGGGACACCACCAAGCTCGAACAATATAGCTGTTATGATGGCAAATTGGAGTCTGGCCCCTAAAAAGTTCCCAGACCCCCAATCTATCTGGTAACCTTTGGTATGAATGATACTGTGGTGATGGACGACAGGGGCTCTAAATTTAGGCATTAGGGTCAACAAAGGCACCCCAGTGTGGCACTCTAACTCCGCTCCACCAAAACAAAGGATTCACAACAGTCAATCGCCGAATCTTGTCGTTGTTCCAACTGCTGGGTAGTAATGCGCGGATAAAGGAAATCTGTACGGGGTACCTCCTGGCCATTTGTGAACAGGTTATGAGGTCTATGGCACAACGAGGCACCTAAAGCGATCTACAACTAAGGCTCCCCTGCGGGGCCTACAAGCTTCCAAATATCTGCTCAGATCTAGATAGTATTCCCTTGTCCCATCTGGGTACTTGCTTTTCCTGACAATACTAGCTTTCTCTGCGGGCAAATAATATTATGAAGTCTCACGACGCAGGATCTAGATGACAGGCTATGAGAGTACGAAGAGCACTTCGACCTGTCCAATATCTAGGTCCCTCGTTGCGGTGAGGTTTAGGTATCATCTTTGCTCATTCATGGCCTTGAGTGATTTTCTTTCAGCATTTCATGTTTGCATAAATCATAAATACACCATGAGCTACCCACAGCAAAGTTTGTTTACCTGGCTGCTACCACGGCAGACAATCACTGAGTTAACCTACCCATTAGCCACTCTACTGGTTGCTTGAAGTTAGAGCAGCGAAGGGGTTAACTTCCCGACAATAAGGGAAATGTACCAGCGAGCTTCTAATTTCATACCCATTGCTGCCCCGAAGCATACTTCTCAAGCCGCAAGTTAGGCTTGTTTGCAAAGTACGCTGTCGCTCCAGCGGGTACCCGGTCGTTTTCAATATATAAGATCTTCTCAGGGCCCTTGAAAATACTAATCACACCAAAACCTTCGCTCCGAGACCAGAGAGGAAAGGTAGCAACACAGCACCCACATTCATCTGCCTGAGATGCAAGAGTCTTCTTAGTTGCCGGCCCGTTGAAAGTCTACCATCATACTGTTAGCCTGAGTGAAGATGAACGGGCTGATTTGTGTCAACAGTACCGTCGTGCCGAAGTTTACGCCAGCACCTGTCGGGGAGGCATTTATTCCCACCTCTGATAGCAGGCGGTTCGGTCGGTACTTGGATACCACAACGGTGATCTCTTCGGTATGCTGGTTAATTACTCGAATGCATGGCGGGATACTTTTGCTGGTTCGGATGATGGCCCCGAAGATGCCCTATTTTGTGGATCAGCAGTGGCGCATGGATGGTCTTTGACGTGGCCTACCTTGGGTACAGAGTCCAGAGGATAGCTCAGGGCATCTGCCCATTCGACTACGGTCTCTGGCTCGGGCAAGTTCGCAGCTAGGATACACTGGTCCGCAGGCTCATCCAGAGCATCCCAAAACACGGTTTCGCTGGAAGAGTCATCGTCTAGGGAAGGAGTATCGTCAAAATCCGCATCCTTCGCGTGAAGTCTGAATGGGACGTGAACGACATCGTAGAGATGAGCTGCGGTCTTGACAAACTCGGCGGCATCGCGCAGAATGTCTACGTCGAGGTTTACCGATTCCACCAAATAGTTCAGACTGACTGGGCGGTTAGAGACAAGAATCACAAACCGCTCCTCTACGGGAATGTTGGTTGCAACTCCGTTCGGCCAAGATATTTCCGAGCCCACTAGCTCATCAAAAGAGTTACTGCCAAGCGTTATATCAAGCTCAGCAGGGAGCTCAATGCCCAGGGGCCATGCTCCAGTCAATGATGAAACAGTGCCAACAGCATTGACGTTCAGCACGGAAACATAGAGGGTAGTACTACCAGCATTTTCGAGACGGATGTAGACGGACTCTCCTTCAGTGATGCGATCACTCCCCGCCATTTGGAAATTGACCTTCGGTTCGCCGTCTTCCACAGTGCCAACTGCGACCTGTAAATTATGTGCCAGGAGATCCTGCCTTCTCTCGCAGCGTAATTCTCGAACACGTTTTGCCCGGGCTAGCCGCTCTGCATCAGCAATAATGTCACTGAATGCCTGAGAGGTCCTCTCTTCGGTGCTATCGATGGAGCGCGTTCTGATTCGGATGCCTTCATTATCGAGTAACACAATGGAGCCCTCTTCATGGCGAAACTCGGCTAAGGGTGTCTGCTCGTCATCCGGACTGGAAGGCTTGAGGTATCTGGATTCTTCCACACCCGCTTGGAGATTATCCAGGCCTGGAGGAAGAGACACCGGTAGCTTGTCAATCACATCATGTTTCAAGAAGGCCAAGGCACCCTCGCGGTGTATACTCCTCCATGATGGCACATGCGTTAGTGCAGCTTTAGATTTGAATGCAGCCACAGCCGTAACGGTGGCTTCCACGGCCGGTTCCCCTTCTTCTGCCTCATCCGGATTAAACGGAACCACGGTGTAGACATTCCCCTTTCGCACACCAACCACACTCCCAGCATCAATCATGGCCTTACCGTTCTCAATCCTAACATACAGCGCCCCGGACTTGACATGCTGCAGAGAAAAGTGTGCTCGGGTGTCTGGTCCCTCGACCTGGGGATGCTGCCACTGGTGCCGGGTATTAACCAGCTGACAGACCCTGACCAGCGTAGTCCTCCACGACACATCAATGCCATCCGTCTCCCCCATAGCCTTGGCCAACGCATCAGTCAAGGCCCCGGACCATTGCCCGCGCGCATTGATATGCTCACAAGCACTTTCCGCTGTGGCCGCGGCAGCGATCCGAACCGCATACGGGTTCCCCAGCTGAAACACCTCACCATGGAAATACCCCTTTTCCCGCAACTGCTTCAAGTAGGAATTCAAATCATGGAATTGGACTTTCGACAGACTCTTTTGCTTGACAGGCTCCTCGTCCGGACCCCGGAACATCCGCCCGGAGTGACAGCAGTCGATAACAATAGTCACGTTCCGTGTTTTGTCCGTCGTATCGCGAAGCAAGTACGATATTTCCACATCGAGGATTCCCCGGAAGTCTCCCTCAGTCGATTCGTCGTAGTCGACTGGGACAAGGAACTGGAACTGCCATGATTTATTCTTCTCCTTTCGCTTCTCGTCGTGCACTAGGGCCCCGTGGCCTGAGTAGTAGATCACCACAGCGTCGCCGGGAGAGGTGACCTCGATCAACTTAGCCCAGGCCTCTAGTATACCAGCACGAGTTGCACTTTCGTTGTAGCAGGGGATGATTTCAAAATCTCGTTGTGTAAGAAGACCCTCCATGGTCTTGACGTCGTTTAGGGTTCCATTCAGCCCGCCATATGTACTGGCGATTAGGAGGGCTCGTTTGTTGGATGACATTTCGGATTTGTCGCTTCTAAGCTGAAGGGACTTTCAGGTGTGGCTTCGTAGAGAGGTATATGGAGAAGGCGTTGCCGCAGGCCTAGATTGCTCTGGCTCCGCTCCCATCTGCGTTAACATCTTATATAGCATATCATTATGTTATGTAGCCCTGGAATCTCGGCAACGTCATATTCTATTGCAAGAGGATTTGCCCAAGTAGGGCATCATGAAGGACCAGGATCCAATAGAAAGTGGTATGTATTAGGCATTGATGCAGTGGCCCGAATGACTAGTTGCAGCTGCATGCAGCCGTACATATCGGTCCGAAAGTGGGATGTCAATTACGACCTGGCGGGCTGGCGAAATACACCTTCATCATCAGGATTAAATGTGATCTACCAAAAAGTGCGAGGCTTGCAGGCGTGTATTCATTAACTATGGTGTTTTTCGAATATATGGATCGTGATACCTAGTAAAGAGTGTCTTTAGAGAAACAGGGTTGTATACAACTGCATCAAGAAATCCGGTTTGAGGCGGGACCATAACATGTCGCAATGATCGACAAAGCAGGGCAACCACTGGAATTGGCCACAACTTCATCCACCTCTGTATGTGTTCTACTGCAGACGTGAACTAGTGTCTAGGCTGCCACTTGGCCTCTGGATTCCGAGATGGCCATATAAGGTATCATACGCAGCCTGCCAGGCATACAGACCATGTCACGTCCACTTGTCCTCATTTCCATGACTCCCCTTAGGTGATTGACAACGTGGATATAACAAGGCTTGATAGAAGTTGGGCAGTGATGCATATCATATCGCCGACATAACTGGGTGAATCCCGAATTGGAATATACCCTCTGCACAGATTACCTGCTATAACACGGTTGCGAGTCACGAAATTATCACGACGCCTTATAATCGCCTGGAGGTGGAGAGGACATCCTGTCGGAGCCTTCAATGCTCGGGGCAATATTAGACAGAGTCTAAGAGTAAATCTTGTCCATGTTGGCAAGAACCATGATTTCGCTTTAGCCCATGGATTGCATCGTAGCTATTCTCCCATTGATACCCAGTCGACTACATGACGACAAGTACGCCCCTTAGCGCCTTGCAACAACAGTGAGTGTGATATTACCTTACGTTACTGGCAATAGTCGCAGCCAGTGGTACTATAGCGCACCGGTTATATATATCTGATAGAGGTTGGAGTGTGATAGATCACCTCTTGTCCTGCTAGTTCACTATACGCGACCTGCATAGGATAACTATCTTCCTCTGGGTGTTTTCCAACGTCTTTGATCGAAATTCATAAAGTAAACTAAGTGGTTATTAAGGACTGCACTTTATCCGAATGCAACGACAAGTACATGTGTAGTTGTTGCCGAAAACTAGCACACTACATATCCCGAACGATCATAAGAATGTATGAAGACCACCTGGCAAAGACATCCCTAAGATTATCAAAGAAAATGCACAACGATACGGCAGCTGAAGCAAAATATCCTTTGCGAGAGTCAAGGAACCCCGGTTCATAACAGCCATGGAGAACCACAGCGTAGGTTAGTTAACCCGCGAATCATACTGGGAGCATGTCTAAGCCCCCTCCATGTTTCTCGAAACCATTCGAATTACCACTATCAACCGTCAGAGCTCCACCGCATCGTAATATCTTCAGCGCTCTAACCTTGCAACTGTCCCGCAAATGGGGAGCGCTTGGTACCACTACTTGACACGAC